TGAGTCAGTGATGCCAACCAACCATCTAATCCTCTGTCACCCCCTTTTCCTGCCTTTTATCTTTCCCAGCATCAGTGTCTTTTCCCATGAGTCGGCTCTTGGCATCAGATGGCCAAAGTATTGGAGCTTCAGCATCAGTCCTTCCAATGAATATTCAGGGTTGATTTCCTTTAGGATTGAATGTTTGATCTCCTTGCAGCCCATGGGACTCTCAAGAGTCTTCTCTACCACCAGCTGTAGGAAAGTAATTTCAAATAGGAAAGTTTAAAAAGCAAGTTGATCTCAAGAAGTACATTAAGTGGGGACTTCCCTGGCAGCCCAGAGGTTAAGACTCTGTGTTTCCACTTCACAGGGCATGGGTTCAATCCCTGGTCAGGGAGCTGAAATGCCACATACCACGTGGTGGGGCCAAAAAGACAAGGATTTCAGGGACCAGGGGTGCCTGGCAAGCAGCCTGTTTTCCATTCAGAGTTGGGATTTCTCCCCCGCATTGGTCCCAAGCCTCAGGGTGGGCTGGTGCTCAGAAAGCTCCCCCTCCAGCCTGGGATCCCTCAGGCCACCCCATCCCTTTTCCAGATGTGCAGCAGATTGCAGAGAGGGTGGCGGGGGGACCCAGGTGGAGGGGAGGCTGGTACCACTTCTGGGGGCCGGGAGCAGTGCTGCAAGGAATTCTCCATAAACTGCGCCCCAGATGCTTCTCAGGGTCAGAAGGGGCCTTAGAAACAACATGTCCAACACCTACATTTTATACACAAGGAAACCGAGGCCGGAAGTGCGGTGTGTCTTCAATTCCAGCGCCGAACAAGGGCTGTGGTGGACAGGCAGTGACAGTGACTTCAGAGTTGGGGGAGGGGAGTACTATTATTAAACTGCTGTTTTAACACGAATTTCAGACCTGCCCACTAATTTTACTTTTTTGTTATTATTATTTGTTTTTGGTTGAGCAGGGTCTTCATTGCTTTGCACCGGCTTTTTCTCTAGTCGCGGAATGAGGGGACTACTCTCTAGTTGCCGTGTGGAGGCTTCTCATTTCAGCGACTTCTCTTGTTTCGGAGCATGAGTTCAGTAGTTGTGGCTCAAGGGTTTAGTTGCTCCTCAGTTGCTCTGTAGGATCTTCCCAGACCGGGGATCGAACTCGTGTCCCCGGCATCAGCAGGCAGGTTCTTAACTACTGGACCACCAGGGACGTCCCTGGATTTACCTATTCTCAAAGTTTCAGACATAAACAGAATCTTACAATAGGTGACCTTTTATGTCTGGATTCCTGCACTTACAATGTCTTTAAGGTTCATCCATGTTGTTTCAGTGCTTCTTTCTTCCCTTTTTATGGTGAATAATAGTCCATGGCATCGACAAACCACATGGTGTTCATCTGCTCATCCATCGGTGCACGCTGGGCTGTTTCCACCTTTTGGTGATTGTGAATGGTGCTACTGTGAACATGCGTGTTCATGTTTTCCCTCAAGTTGCTATCTTTGTTCTTTTGGGTATATACTTAGAAGTGGACTTGCTGGACCATATGGTAATTCTGTGTTTAACATTTTGAGGGACCCGTAATTCTCAAACCACCAGCTCTAAGGCTGGGGGTTTAGGAGCTTGTCCCTGGCTTCTTCCTCGCCATCAACTCCCACCCCACTTGATGTTCTCCACTCAGCTCATCCCAGCAAGTCCCCCTCCCCAACTCATCAATGACCCCAGCATCTCATTAACATACTGAGTACCTATTCCCTCCTTGCCCTCTGGGACTTGGCTGAAGAGGTTCCTTCTGGATAAGACAAGAGCAATTGGCACCTTCCTTCCTTTAGAGGGTCTCTAGTGGGTTCCATCTGGTAATTAGCAGATTTTCTTTTTTTTTTTTTTTTTATTTGTTTACTTGGCTGTGCTGGGTCTGTTGCAGCATGCGGAATCTTTAATCTCTGCTGAAGCATATGGGATGTTACAGTTGCCGCTTTCGGGGCTAGTTCCCTGACCAGGGATAGAACCCGGGCCCCCTGCATTGTGAGCATGGAGTCTTAGCCACTGGACCACTGAGGAAGTCCTGGGACCTAATTCTGTGTATCTTCCCTTTCACTGCTCTGAGATATCACGCCTGAGTCCACGTGCAGTCCGCGTCCTTTCATGCCTTTGAGCATTAGTTCAGCTGCCCAGGTGGCCTTAGTGGTAAAGAACCCGCCTGCCAATACAGGAGACATAAGTGATGAGGGTTCGATCCCTGGGTCAGGAAGATCCCCTGGAGGAGGGCATGGCAATCCACTCCAGTATTCTTGCCTGGAGAATCCCAGGGACAGGGGAACTTGGTGG